TGCGCAGAAGAGATTCCCTTTTTTAGGGTGCTTCATTGGGAAGCGTGGCCATCGAGCGGATAAGGTCAAGGCCATTGTAGACTAGCCTGTTCCAAAGTACCAGAAGGACTTGCGTAAGTGGATTGGTCTCGCCAACGACTTGAACAAGTACAGCGTAAACTACGCAGAAATGGCCCGACACTGAACATCAGGAGGCTTTTGGCGGAGTCAAAGAAGCCTCCTGCATCCACCAATATTGGCGCTGCCAGACCCTGATGTTCTTTCAGCGTCGTCTGTGACGCTTCGGACTTTGCCATCGGCTGTGCATTGCTGCAAGCGGATGCCGAGGGGCGAGATCCGGTGATCGCGTTCGAATCTCGACAGCTCAAAGCTGCGGAGAAGAACTACCCAGTTCATGACAAGGAGCTACTTGCGATGAAGTATGCACTTGTCAAGTTCAGGTCCACTTGCTCGGTTCCAAGCCGTTTGTGATCTACACAGATCATGCGTCACTACGCACTGCGACTCATCCACCCCACCTCTAGCAGAAGATGGCTAGATGTCTATCTCTTTTTGCGGAATATTACTACGAGATGAAGTATAAGCCGGGAAAGCAGAATGCTTCGGCTGAGCGTTGTCACGCTGACCAGACTATGAGCTTGCTCATGTTACACTGTAACGTCGACTGTGACAGATTTGATACGCACCGCGTATGCGGGTGATGGGATGTGTGTAGCGCTGCTACGAGATCTCTCGGGAGCATGGAGTTTGGAGACTCGGGCAAGAAATTGTCATCAAGACCGCGTGCACGATTGCACCGATATTCGTTGAATTATAGTTTGCTATATAATAGCAACGATTCAACGGATACACCACGAATTGTGGTTCCTCATGACGAGGATTTGAAATATTGCATCCTCTATGAAGCTCACGATACGCCACCCAGTGGTCATCTATGTCGTGAGAAACGTACAACATTGTGAGTCACCACTATTGGTGGCCCAAGTTGTACAAATGGACGAGCACCTATGTGTGCACGTGTGAGACGTGTCAAAGGGTGAAACCCGCTTCAAATGCGGCTGCGCCGCTAGCCAGCTTACCAGTACCCACTGGGAGATGGCAGTCCATGTGCTTGGACTTTGTGTTTGGCCTGCCGAACGATTCGGCGGGCCAAACGGGTGTTGTGGTATTCGTCGACCGGTTTGAGCAAGAAAGATCATTTGGCGGCGGTGCCAGACACCATCGTCGGAGTCGGTACAGCAACGCTGTTTTGTATAGCATGTTTTTCGACAACACGGACTCCCAGAGTCGATTGTCGCTGATAGAGACCTGTTTCTCGGGAAAATTTTGGTCGACTGTCTTCAAGGTGCTAGGCACCAAGTTGGATATGTCGACAGCGGATCATCCGCAGACCGA